AGAAGGTGAGCAGCTCATCCTGGCCTGCTCTTGGGATGTATTTTCTGTCTCTCAGAATGTTCCACATAATCTGGCACACATCCAAGTTTTTACAGATTTGTTTCATGAATTTATACATATTATTAGTATTCTTCAAAATATCACAAGTCAGATTAATTTATAACTAAGGATTTGATAAGGTAACTCTAGCTCAATTATTTGGCTTTCCAAAATACTCGTTTAACGAATACTTAAGATTTATTTATTTATGCACACAAGAGCTGGGGTACAGGCCGTGGATGTCGGGGTTGAGAGGATTCACCAGAGACAGAGCAGGGAACAGAACAGGCCGTCTGACAAAATACACTGCTGAGGGGCACAGCAGGCCAGTCAGGAGAGGTCTGAGGCAGATGTCAGTCAGCTTCCTGGCCGGCTGGGGATCCAACTTGTGCACAGTGGCTGGCAGTAGTTTGAGAGCACTGTGTTTAACCCCTGGGCCACCAGGGAGGCCCCTTACCTTTAGTTTGAGGTCAGAAGTGTGACTCATTCATTTCCCCCCACTTTTAATCAGGAAAGCTTTGGTTATTTGGGGTCTTTTGTGTTTCCATATGAACCTCAGAAATCTTTGTTCTGTTCCTTTGAAGAATGCCATCGGGATATTTATTGGGGTTGCAGTGAATCTAGAAGGGGCTCTGGGTTGGATGGCCATTTGGACAATGTTGATTCTTCCAACCCATGAGCTGGGTCTCTCTTTCCATTTCTCTATGCTTTCTATTATTTTTTCCACAATGTTTGATAGTTTTCCTTGTAAAAGTCTTTTACCTCCTCTGTTAAGTTTATTCCCAGTTAATTTTTTGAGTGTGCAATTGTAGGTGGCATGGCTTTGTTAATTTCCTCTTCTAGTTCATTATTTGTACTTAGGAAGGCATATGTTTTTCAATGCAGAGTTTGGTGGCATTACATACACTCACTCTGTCGTGTAACTCTCATTTCTGAAACCAGGGTGTCCCCGAAGGCTCACATACATCCCCAAAATAGACCTGCATTCTTTCTGCTCATTGCTTAACTGTTAACAAAGTCAAACGATTCTCTGTCTTCTAGCCTGGCTACATTACCAAGATGAACATGTTCTTCCCAAGCAGTTCTGCTTCTCCAGAGAAAGAGAACCTCGCAGCTCAAGACCAGCCATCCACCTCGGTCTTATGGGTACACTCCCTTTCATCCAGGGGATGAACTTAGGGGTGGGGGCGACCAAGGGAGATGGCACAAACCTGCACATAGCACACACCTCTTGTCCCCATACCCGAAGGATAAGCGCCCCACACAAGAATGGACCCATAGCCTCCCTGCTCCGTAAGTCTCAGACCGTGCAGCTGTCCACAGCCACTGCAGCAAGAACTCCATCCCCAGCCAGGGAGCTGACCCACAGGGCGCAGCACCTCTCCTGTCTCCCCGCGGCTCCCCTCAGCAGTGGATTTCAGTGGATCTGCCTGTTCTGCTCCCCACTCATCTCTGGGGAGTCCTCCCCCGCCCCGGTCCATTCCCTACCCCTGGAGCTCAGGGTTCCTGTAGTGTCCTCACCGCTGGAGCGTGGACAGTGTCTCTGGGCTGTGCTGATCCTGCACGTCCTGACCCCGGGATGTGGCTGAGCTGGGCAAGGTCCCCACGGAGCATGGTGGAGGCCATTCCTGGGCCTCCGCCGACAGCATCACCACCCACCTGGGCCACCCACCCATCCACAGAAGCCTCACCCGCCACACCCCTGGACGCCCCAACACACCTGCAGGGGGATGTGACACAAGTCACCTGAACCCCTCACCTTCAGAGCAGAGAGTGACCCTTGCTGCAACAGCCCACATGGGTAACGTCACAGCAACAAACACTTCCAGGAAACATGGCACTAGCAGAGGAGCGCTGTCTTATAAAACCCTGAAGGCCTCTTTGGACCAGGTCTGAGGTGAAGGCTGAGGGGCCCGATGTCATCTTTAATGGGCGCTCGAGGACACCTAGGAGCCTGCAGCATCATGGAAAGCGGCCTGCAGCCTAGGGATGAAAACCTCAGCGACCTCCCATGGCGTGTTGAGGAATATGGCCCGTGGCCCCGACATGCCAGGTGGAGTTTAAAGGGACCAATGTACCTCCCCCTGAATCAGGGAGGATGCTCTCAGGGGACAGACAACCCGTCAGTCACTGACTTGGAAACACAGGATGGGGGCTCTGGCTGTAGAGATGTTCCTGACGGAGGAAGCTGCGTAGAGGGTGCGGGCAGGGAGGAGCAGGCGCCCAAGTCCCAAATCCATGATCAGAGAAACAATCCCCGACGGGCGGGCCTCGAGCCCAGCCCTGCGGAGAGGATGCCACGGAGCCGACACAGGGCACGACTGCAAATCCACAGAACGAGGCTAGGTGTGGACATGCAGGTGAGTAACAGGGGCAAACTCAGCGGGCTTTGGCACCTCAGGAGAGCCCTTAGGCCAAGCCCCTCAGCAAGAGACACGCGGCTGAGACCCTCACGACCAGCCCCCACTCCCTGCCCGCCACAGCCATGGGAGCCCCTGCTGCTCGACCCCAGCGGCCACCCCTCGGGACCGTTCTGCTCAGGGAGCTTTCTTGTCCTTACTCCTATGAGTAAATGTCTGGCTCTTCTGGAACTCTGGGCTCCACTTGGAACTACTTTCACACAAAAGAGAAGAAAAGAAGAAGAGCACACCGAGGCCTCAGACTCCGGGCCTGCTGCTCAAACTCTCTGCTCGGCATCACCACAGCGCCAAAGAAATACACCAGGAGGTGCCCGGGGCCGCTGGGGGAAAGGGGTAGAGAGAGTGACATCAAGGACTTCCTCGGCCACGACCTTCCACGCCAACTACTCACCCCAAGGTATGAACTGACTCAGACAAAGACCACATTCAGAGCACGGCCAGCAATGTCGGAAGGGATTATGTTCAGAACAAAGAGAGAAGGAAAAAGACCTGGATTACATCATCACCTCCAGGAGGAATACAGGGAGACGAAGAAAGGGTCAGGGGAAAAAGACAAATCTAGCAGGCAGATGACAGAGCTGAGACGCCAGCAGGGGACAGGGCAGAAGAGGGGCCAGGAGGGAAGGAGGAGCACCAGGGCCTGGGGTGACGGGTCACAGGGGTGGTGCGGACAGGACATTTGCAAGAATTATAAAGAAGGGGAGCGATTCAATATTGCACAAAGATGAACAACAATTTAATAAAAAAAAAAATAAAAGGCAAGAATCCTTTCCTTTAAAAATAATATAGGAGCCTCTGGTGGCGCAGGGGTGAAAGTCTCAGCACTATGAAGCTGCTCTCAGTACTGCAGAACAAATTCGATCCCTGGCCAGGGAGGTGACCCACATGGCACAGTAGACCTCTCCTGTCTCCCCACTGAACCCTCAGCAGTGGATTTCGGTAGATCCACCTGTTGTGCTCCCCACTCTCTCTGTGGAGAATCCTCTCACCCCCTCATAACTCTGGCTTGCACCCCAGTTCTTGTATGCAGAAGTAATCTTCCAAAAAAATTCCCTCATTTTGTAGAACTGGGGAGTAGGCCAGAGGTTCGGGGTGAGAGGATTCACTAGATACTGAGTGTGGCGACAAACAGGCAGAACCACTGAAATACCTGGCTAACGGGAGCAGCGGGTGACACAGGAGAGACCTGCTGCGGCCTCTAGCATATGTGGGACGGCTCCCTAGCAAAGGCTGAAACCCTGGCCAGAGCAGGCAATAGCGCTGAAACTTAACCCCAAGGCCACCAGGGAGGCCCTGAGAAACTTTCATCATGAAAGGTAGGTAAAGGACAGCTGCAGACCTCAACCTATAGCCGAGAGCACACATTTCAACATTTCCTTCTAGAGGAGGACATTTTGGTGGTGAGCAATTCCAGCATCGGGGGGCACCACAGAGACTTAGAGTACTGGACAGAACGTGACGACTAAGTTAGAAAACCCAGAGAGATCACTTACCCACACAACATGCAGTGTGCCATGTAGACAGACAGCTGCTGTGGACAGGCATAGCATCACTCAGGAACTTAAGAGGATACTAGAAGCAACAGCACAGGAACAGCGACATCATCACTGCATGAACTTGGGAGAAGAGTGAACCAGGTAACTCCACGCAATTAGGAGTGAAACTATATGTGAGTTCCCATTGCTCTCAACTGAATGATGTGGTTTGAGCTCCTAAGTTTGAATATTTTTTTAAAGATTTTTATTTATTCAAGCATACAACAATCAGGGTACAGGCCAGATGTGTGGGAGGGTGAGAGGATGCACCAGAGACAGAGCAGGGAACAGAACAGGCAGACTGACCGAAATACACTGCTGAAATACACGCAGCGGCCCAGACAGGAGAGGTCTGCCGCACCATGGGGTTGTTCCTGGCCGGCCAGGGAATCAAACTCCCACCGCAAAGGCCGCGAACAGCTTCATAGTGCTGCGCTCAAACATCTGCACCCACCGGGGGAGGCCTGCCTGCCCACTCTTGACATTCTTAGCATTTCCCTCCAGTGTGGAGTTTGTCATGCCTAGTGAGGGCTGACTTCCTGAAAAGTTTTCCCACATTCTTCACAATCATAGGGATTTTGTCCAGTGACATCTCTGATGTCCAGTGAGAGCATGCTTACTGGAAAAAAATTTTCCCACACTCTTGACACTCATAATGCTTCTCTCTAGTGTGACTTCTCTGATGTTTACTGAGGGATGTTTTCTGGCAGAAAGTCTTTCCACACTCTTGACACTCAGGGTTTCTCTCCAGTGTGACTTCTCTGATGTCTAATGAGGTTTGACTTACGGGAAAAAGCTTTCCCACACCCTTCACAATCATAGGGTTTCTCTCCAGTGTGACTTCTCTTATGTCTAATGAGGTTTGACTTACGGGAAAAAGCTTTCCCACACCCTTCACAATCATAGGGTTTCTCTCCAGTGTGACCTCTCTCTGATGATCTAGGTCTTGAGGTGTGTGACTTTGAATTTTCCCACCACACTCTTGACATTCATAGGGTTTTCTTACCAGTGTGACCTCTCTGGGTGTGTGACTGAGGGATGATCTCCAGGAGAAAGTCTTCCTACACTCTTGACATTCATATGGCTTCTCTCCAGTGTGACTTATCTGATGGTTACTGAGGGATGATTTCCAGTGGAAAGTCTTACCACACTCTTGACATTCATAAGGCTTCTCTCCAGTGTGAATTCTCTGATGCTCCCTGAGGTAAGACTTACGGGAAAAAGCTTTCCCACACTCTTCATATTCATAAGGCATCTCTCCAGTGTGAATTCTCTGATGCTCACTGAGGTAAGACTTACTGGAAAAAGCTTTACCACACCCTTCACATTCATAGGGTTTCTCTCCAGTGTGAATTCTCTGATGTCTGATAAGGTGTGCCTTACTAGAAAAAGCTTTCCCACACCCTTCACATTCATAGCATTTCTCTCCAGTGTGAGTCCTCTCATGTAGAACAAGAACTGACTTACAGGAGAACACTTTCCTGCATGCCTCACATTCATAGGGTTTCTCCCTTATATGAGTTCTCTGATGGACACTAAAAGCAGATTTCCACCTGAAAGTTTTCTTACATACCTGACATGGGTAGCGCTTCACTCCCGTTTGAGATTGTGGATGTAAAGTGAGGGCAGTCTTCCATGAGTAAGTTTTCACATAATCGTTAGAGCCAAACAACTTCACTGCAGTGAGATTTCTCTGGTATCCCCTCTGTAAGGAAATCTCAGTGGTGCCCCCACACTCATCAGGTTGATCGTCTGCTTGTGTTTTCTGATGTTCAGTCAGAACAGAGGTTTTAGAGGCCACTTCACCATATCTCTTATATCCCAAATTATTCTTTCCTAACTGGGTACTCTCACGCGGATAGGTGTGAAATATGTTGCTGAGACTGGCCCCACTTTCACAACATTCCTGCTGCTCGTGTTCAACATACCTAGGAAGATTCAAATGCACTGGAGTCATCTCCGCAGCTCTCCCCTTTTCATTACAACTGCAGGGAGTCTGTCCTCCTTGGGTTCTGTCTCGGGCAACGAAAGGTACCTCATCACGGGTGTCCCTGCACTCATTGCATTTATGGGCAGCCCCTTCTGGAAGGGCTCCTTTAGGTGTAAATATTGTTTCTTCACTCACAACTTTTCCTTGTTCACGAAATTCAAAAGGCTGTTGAAAGTTCTGAATCACCTGGTGACTAAGGTGCTCAGGATACTTGATGGGTTCCCTCATTCTACTAAAGACCTCCTTGTACTCTCCAGCATACCCTTCATGAGGCTCACCAGGGATCATCATGGTCCTATGTATAGTAAAGTTCACAGGCATCATCGCTGAATTGTTTTCATTTTTGATACTATGGTTCAAACAATGAATTGAGTGCAAATTGCTTTTTTCCATTAAGTCAGTTCTCTCGTTGAATGCTATTTTGCTGCTGGTGGTAAGAACTTGCCACACATGTCTGCCCTGATTTGCAGGGCTGTCCTGAGTCAGGTGATCCACAGTATGGACATCTAAAGTGAGATAAAAATGGCCATGTCTCTAAGCATTTTGAGTGAATACTACTAAGTGGCACAAAAGCTCCTGTATTACAACACAATTTACAGGTATTGATTTTCTGATTCATGCTTTTTGCCCATAGCAAATTATGGGGAGACTAGATTTTTTGGTATTTTTTATTTTAGCATAGAAGATCTGGGGTGTAGGCCAGAAGTGCAGGAGTGGGGGTGCTGTAGGGGAGCGTGGAGACAGTGTTTTGAACAGAACAGGTGGACTGACTCAAATACACTGCTGAGAGGAGCAGCGGGTGAGACAGGGGAGGTCTACTGTGACAAAGTGGGTGAGCTACTTCACTGTGGATCAAACTGAGGCCATAATAGTGAGAGCTAAGAGACTTAATCCCTAGGCCTCCAGGGAGGCCCCAATTAACAAATTTTCTAATGCCAAACCAGGATAACAAAGCAGTAAAACTAATTTAATAATTGCTTTGTAAATCATAAATATTTGGTGAAAATAGTCCTTTAACTAGATTTGTCAATTTCAACCAGAAGCATTTCATCCAAAATAGATCCTACACACCTTCTTTCTTAGACTGACCCTGTGCAGCTCTTGCAGGTACTTTCTGAATAACCAAGCCCTGCAGAGGCCATGGCTTTCCTGGAAACCTGTGGACTGAGTGACCCAGTCATTGCCCAGGCACTTTAAGCAAGAGGCCTGCTGAGACACAAGGACTCTGCTTCTCCATTTCCTTAGTTTTTCTTTCGATCCCGGCCCTGGCCACGGTCACCTGCAGAGGTTCTCAGAGGCATGCACATCCCTCCACGGCAGAGACCTGTCAGTTCTTATTTAAATACATAAGGCTCAGAATCCTAATACATGCAGCAAACTCCGCCTCATCATTGTGTCCCACGTTCCTGCTGATAGGAAAAAAGTTCTGCATCCAGCCTGTGGCTATCAGTGTTAAAGTCTTTTCCCACATCATTCTGAGAGCAACACCCTGGTGTTCTCAACGCACTCGCTGGAACCTGTGTTTCTGCTTTGTTCATAGCAGCTCCTGTTTTTATGTCGTGTGTGACCTCCCCATAAACATACAGAAAGAATAAAAAAAAATTCCTCAACAGGAACCTAAAGAAAACAGTTTATGAGAATACACTAAGAGAGAGAATAGAGATATGTGATTACTGCAGAATCATCCCCATGTATCAGGGACTTCATACTGTTTAAGAACATAGACGGCCATTTTTAAAAGAGCAGGACGTAATTCACAAGAGAGTAGTATTTGGAAACTGAATAAAGAATCAGTTTGATATATGCAGACACACTCTCCAAGATTGGACACTGAAAAAGCACCTCAGTGTGGCCAATATCACTGGCCACACTCCCAGCCTCCTCTCAGCCCCCCGGCCTGGCAAGCACTGACTGACCTGACAGGTCCTGGTTTGGGGGATCGTCCACAGTCCACGGCTGTAATCCCTGCTCCGACCTGATGCTCTCCTCAGGATCGGTAACACAGTGCCCTGTGATGAGAAACAGTGTTGGTCTTCGATCAAGTTCAACTTCAGTCTTTGAAAACTAACAAATGCAGTGTGAAGAGCTGTGCAAAAGAGGCCAATCTGAATCTTTCCAAATGAAAACCGAAACACCCACAATGTACACTGCCTGCCATGTTCAACCTCACTAACACTCAGTTTCATAAGCAAGTGCACACTTGTCAGTGCAGAAGACAGCATTGCACTAGAGTGTTACACTGGAGCTTCCTCACCTAAGGACACCAGGTGATTGCAGGTCTCCAGCATCACATCCCGGTACAGGTTCCTCTGATCTTCACTCAGGTACTGCCACTCCTGCCACGTGAAGTTCACAGCCACATCTTCAAATGACACTGTCCCTTCTGAGGGAACATTACTCATCTCAGGGCCGGCAGCCTGGGTCAGACAGAGCAAGTGCAAACACGTCTTATTTTGTGGGTCTTCAGTCCTGTATAGAATTTGCAGTTGAAAGAGCCTCGCCTCTACATTCACCCCTTTGGTCCTACAAGTAGAACTATAGCTTACCTTATATATTTGGAAGTGTCTATGATTCTAAGAATAAAAGGATGAATAAAATAGGCTCCTTGAGGAGCTGATAGCCTGACTGGCAGGTGTAACAGACTCACACCCGGAATCATGTGCTAAAGGAGCTTCATAACAAATTAAAAACATGTGCAACTTTGTGCCAATATTTTACTCCCGTGACCTCAAAGCCTGCTATCTCCAACTCACAGTAAACAAAAACTGAACCCAAAACCAGGATGTTCAAGCAATGAGGTGGGAAAAAGCAAAGGTAAGAGATGTTCAACTACAAGCAAGTATAAACCAGAGATGCACTATTGGGGGGTGGAGAGATTAGGGTTAAAATAAGGGGGGTGGGATGTATGGGGACTATAACCAAGATGAAAAATGCACAACTTGTGCAGAAATAAAAAATGATGTAAAATATATATAAAATAAAATTTTAAGAAAAGATGTTCAGCTGACAGAGTCAGAAGAAGACAGATCAGGTCATCACTTCTAAAATGGAAGGACAAAGGAGGAGAACTTGGTAATAACTTGGTGGCTGAGGTATGAGGAATGTTTTCCTAATATGCTGTCTGCATGACGGGCTGGTAGACACTGGAATTCCACACGCAACTGGACATGTGTCTGATAGATCAGGAAGTCTAAGGTGAAAACAGAAATTTGGGAATCAGGTCCTCCCTGGTGGCACAAGAGTTTAAGTCTCAGCACTATGAAGCTATCGGCAGCTGCTGCAGCAAGAATTCAATCCCCAACCAGGGAGCTATCCACAAGGCACAGCAGACCTCTCCTGTCTCCCCGCTGCTCCCCTCAGCAGTGTATTTCAGTCAGTCTGCCTGTTCTGTTCCCCACTCTGTCTCTGGTGAATCCTCTCACCCCCTGCACCTGTGGCCTACACCCGAGCGTTTATATGCATACATAAAATAAATATTAAAGAAAAGAAAGAATTTGGGAATCTCCAGGATATTATTGATAGTTTTCATCACCGTAGGGGAGAACACGGTGACCAGAACAAAAGGTATTGAAAGAAGAGGAAAAACAACTAAGAGACAAATATTTCTTTTGGAGAAAGAAAAAAATAGATAATAGCAATGAAAGAGTTTTGAAAAATAAGATACACGGTATAAGAAAACAAATATCTTAAGAAATCCGTAAATTTATTCCATAATTTCCTTTGCTATGTAGTAAATCCTGTGCACCTCCACATACATATAGAATAGGAACCCATTAAAATAAATTTCCATTTGTGTTAGCTAAAAATGGATTCAGAGGATTTTTCCTCAACACAAAACAAGTCCTTGACAGCCACAAGCGACATCAACATTCCCAGTGAGAGTAGGACTAACAAAGACGCTCAGTGTCCCCTATTCACAATGGGTTTGGGTGACGCTACGTAACAACAACAACAAAAAGACAACATACATAAAAATGGTCATAACTAGTTATAATTCATTCTTGGAAAACTAATGAAAGCCACAGTAAAGCGACTCTGGAAAGGAAAACCCAGTGAGCAGACTATAACACACACCCGTGTTCACACACACAGGAGCTCCTGTACGCTGCCAGTGAAATGACAAAACAGTAAGCGATACATATAGCGGAACCAAGGGCAGAGACTGAGCTGGAATAAAGAAACCCGGAGGCTTAAACAATGAATTAAACCAATGCAAAGACAAAACAGCATCCAGAACACGATGAGCCTGCTGCACTGACAGCAACTCTTGCAAGATAACCCGGCACATCCCAGTTCTAGGAAAACAAAAATGCATTTATTTACAGGCTCATTGATTAAAACACTAATACGAGAAATAAAACAACAGCAAAGAGAAGGTGGATGGCTCATGTCTGCGCACAGAAACTCACGGGGACCTCCCAGCAGGAGTAGGCTCAGGATGCCATAAAAGGACCGTATGATGAAATGGGACAATACAATCCCCTCGCACTTTCGACCCTGTTCAAAATGGAAATGTGCAGCCATGAGTAAAGGACTGGAATACACAGCTCTGCAAATCACATACCCAAGCGGGTCCTAACACATGAACGTTCTCAATACGATCAGTCACGAAGGAAAAATGAATCAGAAGTACAAGAGATGAGATTTCACGTCCGCTGGGATCACAATGATTTAAAAAGAAAGAAAAGAACAAGTACTGGCAAAAATTGGGACCTGGCTCCCTTGCACACTGTTGGGGCAAACATAAATGATGCAGCCAGGAGGGAAGACAGGAAGGTGATTCTTGGGAAAAGGGAACTCAGAATGACAGGAGGACCCACCCCCACCCCGGGGTGTTCACCAATAGCAGGGACAGCAGTGACGGGCAGAGACATTTGCTCACCTACGGTCACCGCAACACCAGTCATTACAGCCCAAAGCAAAATCAACCCAAGCCCCAGGTGATGGATTAATGGATAAATAAGACTGGAAAATACACATAAGAGATTATTAATGAGCCTCACAATGGAAATAAACAATGACACACACTACAATATGAATGCACTCCTGTATGATACCTATGAAATGACAAAACAGTTAACAATGCAATAAAATAAGAGATTCACCAAGAAAACAAGGTGTAATAAGACTCCATTCATACAGGTCTGAGTTGTCAAACTCTTGAAAACAGAAAGTAAATGGTGGACACAGGGACTCAGGGACAGAGCAGTTGGGAGAGAGAGTTTAATGAGTACAGTATTTTATTACTGGGAAATGAAAAAATCTGGAATGGTTGTGATGGCTGTATAATAAGGCCAGATACTAAAAGCCAAAGAACACCACATGCAATAACAGCGAAAGGAGACTTTTTATTTTACATTTAAATAAAGGGTCAGGGGCTTTCCTGGTGGCTCAAAGGTAAAGACACTACCTATGGAGCTGTCCCGCAGCCACAGCAGCACGAGTTCAATCCCCAGCCAGACAGCTACCCACATGGCATGGCAGACCTCTCCTGACTCGCCCACTGCTCCCCTCAGCAGTGTATTTCAACAGATTTGCCTGTTCTGCTCCCCACTCTGTCTCTGGAGTATCCTCCCCCCTTCCACACCTCTGGCCCATACCTCAGTTTTTGTATGCATAAATAAGTTCATCTTTTAAAATATGAATGAATGAATGAATGAATGAATGAATGGAGGGCCACATTTTCTAGGAAAAGGAGAAAAAGAAGCAACAGTCATGCTGGGCAGAAGAGCAGCCACTGCTGTTCCCCACAGTGCAAAGGTTTATAAAATGAAACACTTGCATGGTCACAGGTGACAGAAGAGCTGGTAAAATTAGGTTGCAAAATATATTCATTCTATCAATATTCTATAAACATCTATCAAAATAAAAAAATCTAACATTAACCGTAACTTCAGCAAGAATCATACGTATGACAAATGCAAACACACCTACTATACTCCAGACTCGATGACAGAAACCTGAAGCTCTTTATTAAAAAGTACATTGAGCATCACTGACATAAACTCCCAACAACCAAAGGTCAAAGGATGAACATCTGCGCTACCTGGTTTTACTCAGCGAGTGTCTGTGTCATGACCCTTGTTCAAACGTGTCCCACTGACCCCTGAGTACTTTCTCCCCCTGAACTCTGAGGTGTCACCACACCCTCCCATTCAGAGGCAGAAAGGGGAGCAACCTCATCACTGAGAAAATGCATCCATCAGGTTTGGCCAAGAATGAGAACTGTAATGTGAAAGAAAGTCAACACACACACTCACACGCACGCACACATGCACGGCGGTGCTGTTGTTAGCCACCATTAAGATATCAGGTAATACTGAAGGGTAACTTACATTGGGTGAGACTAAACTCTGGAACAGAGAAATCCCTTTCTGGTGGCGGGAGACCTGGGCTGAGAAGGATCTAATTCCACACGAGAGGGCACAACACAGGACGAGGTTTGCATGTTGCATGCGCAGCAGGTGCCATCGGGACGGCTACAGGCGCAGTCAGGTGGGAGCCGAGCCTGTGGTACTAGGCCTGGGCAGGAGGCCCACGCGCAAGTGTAACTGGCAGAAATGGCAAAACACAGTTGACTGACTCACTCAGGAGAAGTGCAGACTGAAGACGGGAGACCAGATCGGAACACAGGGACTAGCTACATTCAGAAGCACAAGATACTCAAGCATTCAGGGACACAGGAAATAAATCATCAGAGAGACCATGACAGAAGCAAACACAAAGAAATTTGCATCTTCCAAAACACTGAAGGGGAGGAAAACTCACCAACACATACAATGAGGTCAACATTGCTCTGATACCCTCCAAAAAAAGCCAGCATAAAAGGGAAAAATAGACCAACACCACCAAAGAACAGAGAAGCGAAAATCCTCAACAAATTCCAACCGACTTAATACAGCAACATGGAGTCTCCCTGGTGAAGCAAGGGTTTAAGGCAAAGCACTATGAAGCGATCCACAGCCCCTGCAGCATGAGTTCCATCCCCAGTCAGGGAACTCACCCACATGGCACACCTGACCTCTCCTGTCTCCTTGCTGTTCCCCTTAGTAGTGTATTTCACCAGATCTGCCTGTTTGGTTCCCCACTCTGTCTCTGGTCAATCCTCTCACCCACCACATGTCTGGCCTGTACCCCAGCTCTTATATAGATAAATTAATCAATCTATAAAATTCCAAATGGATTAAATATTTGGTGATGTACTTGACAGAAAATATAGGGACACACTAAGGACTGCTGCCACAAAATGCACTAGGGAACACAACCCCAACACCCAGGGAAACAAAAACAAAAATCAACAAGTGGGACACCATTAAAACTAAAAGCTTTCATACCTTAAAAGAAACGAGCCCAAAAACTGAAAGGCAGTCTATAGAACAGAAAAAGAATCTGCATGCTACACATGTGACAAGGGGTTCATTCCAAAATTTATAACATCCCCAAACAATGCGAGAAACCAACTGATGACTCAATTAAAAATGGACAAAAGGGAGCCTCCCTGGTGACACAAAGGGTTGGGACGCAGCCTATGAAGCTCTCCACAGCCTCTGCAGCGCAAGTTCGATCCCTGGCCGGCAGGGAGCAACCCGCATGGCACAGCAGACCTCTCCTGACTCCCCACTGCTCCCCTCAGCAGTGTGTTTCAGTAAGTCTGCCTGTTCTGCCTCCCACTCTGTCTCTGGCGAATCCTCTCACCCTCTGCACCTCTCGCCTGTACCCCAGTTCTTGTATGCACAAATGAATAAATCTTAATTAAAAAATGGACAAAGGAACTATATACACTCTCCTCTAGAGAGGGAATTCTGACATCCTACAGACAATAGGAATGTTCACCTTAACTTATTACAAGATAAATGTAAATTAAAAGCACACTTAGATGCCACGTCACCCCTTGAGAAGGCCCAAATGAAAACGAATGGAT